ATGCTCATGTACATCATCTATACTTATAATAAATCTGTAAAGAGGTCAATTCTGTACATGAAACATATTTTCAAAATAACTATCAGGGGGTCATTAGTGATCGATACTGATGCCAAAAATGCAATCAGTAAAATTTTTGTCTGTCTGTCTGTCTGTCTGTGTGTATGTTCCTTATAGAAACAAAAACTACTCGACGGATTTTAACGAAACTTGGTACAATTATTTTTCATACTCCTGGGCAGGTTATAGTATACTTTTCATCACGCTACAGTCAATAGGAGCAGAGTAGTGAAGGGAAATGTTGGGAAAACGGGAGAAGTTACTCCATTTTTTTAGCTTCCGTTGCGTGTGCAGCCTTAATGGTTAAAGTTACATAGAAATCATGTATGACGGAAATAGTCTACATAAAATTGTCTAAAAAATATCCCGCAACAGCATATGTCTATCTTTTATGGTTGACTCACAATAACACGTGTAACTCCTGATAGCTTAGCAGTTCGGAGCATTCTGATATATCTATTTGTTTGCTCTTACGTTTATAATACTCTCACTCATCCCTAATTTAAAAAAGTGAACATTATTACCTATTCAATAAAAAAAGAATCATAGAAATCGGTATAGAAACACCAAACTTATACATGAAATAAGCCATCGCGCCGTCGCACGTGAATACTGAATCATGCTATAAGGATTATTTTTGTGTAACGGTTGCCGCGCTCGACATGGGTCGCGGCGGCGGTAGGTTAAGAAGAATGCCATTGTGTATAATACAGGCCTGAGAACAATAACTATAGTCTACACTTCAGCTCTACACCGAAGCGAAGCGAGGGCGGGCCACTAGTTTATAATAAGGTCTTACATAGTTAATAGTGAGTGGTACATGACCCCGTTGGGGTGTTGCAATAAATTTGAGCTTGTTTATTTAAATAAAGAACTTAGTTCGGTTAGTTATACATTTATTACTCTAGAGTGGCTGGATTGATTTTCATGATGTTTGATTAATATTTGTCATCACCCGACTAATATATTAACGAGCTTTTGTCGTTAACTGTACTTTTAATCAAACACTTCTTTCTTTATTTTTGGTCCCAACTTGCCACTCAAAATAATCATTAAACATAGGTGTCATTCGGGACCACTAGCTTCGGTCCCGAATGCCGCCTCAAAATAATTTATTAATTCCATGTCCCCATCAGGACCAGGGGGCCATTTGCCTAACGGAAATGCTTTGGAAAACGCTAACGCTTACGATTTCATTTTGTTATTTCTAGCCGCCTGAGGTTTTCAAATCCTCGCGCTCTTTTTTTTCTTTTGCATTGGTAATAACAATAATAAAAAAAATAAGCGTGAGGTATTTGAACCTTCGGCTGTAAGAAATAACAAAATAAAATCGAAAGCGTAAGCGTTTTCCAAAGCATTTCCGTTAGGCGAATGGCCCCCTGTGGTCCCGTTCCTAAATGACTACCGACTCAATATATATTATATACATTAATTTTACGGCGCAAAAATGTTGTAGCTTAATTGTTGTTCATATTAAATCAAATCAGATCCAACCAAATTTAAACAAAATCAATCCAATCTATATCATATTATTTCATCATAATCATATCATATCATCATAGTCAAATCAAAATCATATCATAACAATTTAAATGTAAGTTACTTGTGTGCCAATGCTCTTAATTAAATGAATAAATATCGAAATTCCAAAACGTCTGTTTATTCTTAGCTATGCTTAAATAATGCTTTTGTAAACACTAAGTAAATACAGAAAAAAAAAATTCAAGAATTCAGTAATGAATTCGTTGCTATATGCCTTTAACACGTGTCCGTTAGAATTCTTAAATATAGAGACAAGGAGGGAGGGCTCCTAGAAAGTTTGACAACTTTTAGGTGATTGGTCGAACATCAAAGGTAATATTATTGTAGCTATGATTGTCTTATTTATACCTAAAATCTAAAGAAAATGTAACTAGAAAAAATTCCACGCGGACCAGACAGCAGATGGGACTCAAACCCGCATCCTTCGGTAACCGGGCGAATGCACTGACCAATAATTCCTCTAGCCATTTCTTAAGCTGCAAGGCAGCGCCATCTCTTCGCATTAGCAACCCACAATGTCAAATTATTCCATTCGCCCGGATAGCGAAGGATGCGATGTTTGAGTCCCGTCTGCTGCCTGGTCCGCGTGGAATTTTTTCTAGTTACATTTTCTTTAGATTTAAACGTCAAGCAATTATATGCTTAAAAAATAAAAATTACAATTATTTATACCTACTTAAGTCTAACATCTATCTCGTGACATCTTTGATGTCCTGCCAAGCATAAAACATCATATTCAGAACGCGCTTTGTTAATCTCACCTCCAGCTTTAACCATGTTGATTCCGTCTTCGAGGGACTCGAACAAAGGGGCGTCCTTGTTTTTATTGAAAACCTTTTTCTTTCTGAGCTCGTCTTCTATTTTCGCATTTCGTTTGTTGAAATAATAGGACGGGGTCTGAAAGGTTTCCAACAAAAAGGTATTTATCATTTAAACGCGATGGATTTTACATGCACTGATAAATTATTCGCTGTGTGAGAATTTGATCTCGGCTAAGAATAGGCTCATTAATCTTGTGTCAAACGCGAGGAAAGGATAAGGGTATTAAAAGAAAAGATTCAATGACGTTTATTTGGTGGCGAGATACTTTTATTAGACACAGATCTATCAAGATACTTAACAACAATAGTTGTTAATAGGGATGATGACTAATTTTATTTTCTTCGTTTATCAGGTAGATTATCAAAAAGTATTGGACACGTATTTTTTCTTTTTTCACATAATATAAACATTGCAGAGATATATTGATTTGAAAAGTCGCATGACGTCACGTTTTGGTACAATTTTCACTTAAAAGTGACGTCACGAGCCCTTTATCTTTGTCATTTTTTGGTTGATTGCCCAAAGATTTTTTTTTTTATTTTTTGATCATCTAACTGACGGACTAAATAGAATTCCGTTTACTTTACCCCGTCATTATGTCTATTGTGAATTAACAACGTAGTCTAATATATGAAAGTGCTATATAATTTTACCAACAAATTCAATTTAGTTGAATTTTCCTCTGGATGTATAGCACAATTGTTTGTCATTTCGCCGCATATGGATGGATAGAATATGGAATGGAAGGATGGAAAAAGGTAGAGGATTGGTAATAGGGTTAAGTATCACAAATTTATATACGCAACTCTAAAGAAAAATTAATGTCTGCGATCAAGAAGAACATAGAAATAATCATAGTTTAATAACTAGTAATACGAAGACAGACATAAATAGTTATTTATATATAATAGTTATTATGCAACTGCTGTATAATGAGGGGTATGAAAACGTAAGTGTGGGTTTTATGGAAATAATAAAATGTAATGAAATAATAGTATCACATGATTGTTTTAACACCTAAATATGAACAGTTGCATACGTGGTTGCATTTAAGACTATAAAAGATTCCAAAACCATGGGGCGTTCCAAGAACTTAAAATTCATCAAAAGTTTCGGCGCTGTGGTAATGAAACGCGCGTGAATGACAATGTTGTTTTCTTTAATTCATATTACCACAAAACGGGCAGTGAAAAATGTATTAAAAAGCGAAGGAGTGTTATTATTGAATGATCAATCTATAGTAAAGAAAAATAAATCTCTTCGGCGATAACAGGATAATTAATATCGAACTTCAATTAGGTAAGTTCAATCATCATATCGTACAATTATCCTGTTATCGCCTCCGACATTTATTTTTCTTTACTATGTAATAAATCTCCTGGTTCGTCGGTTAAGATGGGAGTTCCGCAGGGCTCAATCCTTGGTCCTTTTTATTTTTTTATTTATATCAATGATTTGCCCTATTTTGTAAAGGATAACCACGAAATAGTATTGTATGCGGATGACACTTCACTTTTGTTTAAAATTAAACGTAGGCAGTCGCAAATTGACGACGTGAACAAGTCTATTTCTAAGGTAGTCCACTGGTTTAATGTTAATAATTTACTGCTAAATGAAGGGAAAACTAAGTGTTTGAAATTTGTTTTACCTAATGTCAAACAGGTAAACAACAATGTAAATATAAAGGATCGAAATGTGAGCCTTGTAGATACCACAGTGTTCTTAGGAATCACACTAAATTCAAAGTTGCAATGGGGCCCACATATTGATAAATTGTCAAAGAGACTTAGTTCTGCAGCATATGCGTAATGAAAATACGCCACGATATAGAAACTGCCAGATTAGTCTACTTTAGTTATTTTCATAGTGTAATGTCTTACGGTATTTTACTATGGGGAAATGCCGCCGACATTCAAACAATATTTGTGTTGCAGAAGCGGGCTATTCGATCAATTTATAATCTTAAAGTTAAGGACTCCTTAAGAGATAAGTTTAAAGAAATAGGCATAATGACCGTTGCATCACAATACATATATGAAAACTCAGTATATGTCAAAAAAAAATATTAGTTGATTTACTAAAAATAGTGAAATACATACACTTAATACTAGAAGTAAAAATAAGTTAACTTTACCTGCTACTAGGCTCCACAAAATTAATAATTCGTTTAGAGGTCTCTGTGTTCGCTTTTACAATAAAGTCCCAAGCAATATTCAAGAGTTAAGCCTGACTAAATTTAAATCGACCATTAAAAAATCTCTTGTTATGAAAGCTTATTATAAAGTGTCTGATTATATTACAGACAAAAATGCTTGGGTTTGAACTGTTCCAACCATTCCAACGGGTATTTCTATATGATATATATTATGAATCATGTGTTGACGATACCACTATTGAAAAGCTGTATTTTAAGTTGATTACGTAAGGAAGAATATCAGATTATTTAAGAAGATTTGAATGACAAAACGGCGTGGTCATAATTTCTCCATTGTTTTTGCTTTGTAATTGTTTGCGGTGTCCCACAGATAAATGACTTTAATTTTAAGTAAATAATATGTTGTGGTTGATATAGGTGGTTATGGGTAGTCATGCTCTCTTAAGTCTCTTCGGTGGTGTCGTGTGAGGCGGGTCGTTACGTACCCTAAAATATGGTTGAGCGAAGCGATGGTTGGTTCATGCGTCATGCTCGTGAACGGGTGCTGCCAGCGGAGGTGAGTCTGCCCTAACTACTTTGATATTTAAGATTTTAATTACACCTATTATAAATAACTCTGTTTGTATTAATACTGTGTGACACAGCAATCAAAATGCAGGTGAACAATTAATGTATAATTTCACATTATGTAATGAAAGGTGACTTCATGAATCATCTCTGAAGTAATCTTTCAACTTGACGACTCTGTAAATGATAAAACAGGGAGAAAAAAACAGCCCTTGCTGAGTTTCTTGCCTAGCTTCTAGACATTCATATGTGCTTGTAACAGCCTAAACTGAATAAATGATTTTGATTGATTGATTGATTGAATACCTCCCACTTTTTATACATCGCTTTAAAGTGTGTGCGGGCTGACTGATCGTACTGAGGGTACTACTACATAGTCAAGAAAAATAAATCTTGGAGGCGATAACAGGATAATCAACTTAGATTAAAACAAAAAGGGTAGATACGGCACTAGCCTCACAAAAGTGATCCGCACCAATTGTGGTCCACGATATTATCGCTTTAGTCACAACTTGACATGCAAACGACGTACATGTAAACGCCAAAAAGAAATATTGCTAATATTTTGTGTTTATATGATAAAACAATCCCTAAGTGTGTTTTTAAAAAGTGCTCAAATTGCTCAAGAACTAAAAATAAAACCCACGGCATCACTTTTCATTCGTAAGTACTATAAAATATATTTTTTCATAAAAATTGTTGTTTGTGTGATTTAATAAAGCTAAAGTAGTATCGAAAACTCACCTGTAACCATGAGCGAGTGTAACCTATATCCTCAAAGATCAGCTCCAAGGAGCTGTCAAGGAGTTCTTCTAAAGAATTAATGGATGGCGGCGGACCATTGAGTAGCCAGCTGACCACACTGCTCGTGTAGTAGTTGTAAATGAGAACGCATGATATTCCAGTAACTAGAACCGTCAATTTGCGCGCTGGAAACAATGATATTATTCTCACAATAAATGTCCAAGCAAGGCCGATAAAAGTTTTAGAGAAATTTTTAACTTTAACTAGCTCTGTGGTGCAACTAACACTGAGTAACAAAATGCGCGACGCTGTAATCTTAGCCTATTTAACAGTTATTATAACCATCAAATTATGACCTCATTTTGACTATCGGAAAATGGTGCAAACCATTTTTTTACCTAACCACTGAACAGTTAAAGGATAGAGGTGCCGCTCAAGCTAAATGTTTCAAATCAGTAAGTAATATTTCCTCTTCAATACAGTTAACTATAATTTGACCGATCATAGGATGAAAGAAATATTCCAATTGACTTTGAAGCTCTATTGGCTCGTCCTTAAATAGCAGGCAAGAAGAAAAGAAACCTATTATAATTTTTATTCGAACCCGCACCCTTCGCAATCCAGGCGAATGCACTGACCAATTATGCTACCGCGGCTCTCACGGACCACGTCGAAATTCCTCTAGCCATTCTTAATCTGCAAGGCAGCGCCATCTCTTCGCATTATAGGTAACCCACAATGTCAAATGAATACTTTTACAAGTATTGAACATTTGAAAGAAGAAATAGCTATTATAGTTATATTTTTTATTTTTTAAGCATGTAACTGCTTGATGTTTAAATCTAAAGAAAATATAACCAGAAAAAAGCGTTCGAGTCCCATCTGCTGCCTGGTCCGCGTGTAACTTTTTCTAGTATAATACTTGTAAAAGTATTCATTTGACATTGTGGGTTACCTATAATGCGAAGAGATGGCGCTGCCTTGCAGATTAAGAATGGCTAGAGGAATTTCGACGCGGTCCGTGAGGGCCGCGGTAGCATAATTGGTCAGTGCATTCGCTCGGATTGCGAAGAGTGCGGGTTCGAGTCCCGTCTACTGCCTGGTCCGCGTGGATTTTTTTCTAGAAACCTCATGGAACCATTGAACTTTTTTACAGAAGTAGCGGCACTTAAATAGTTCATTAAATAATGAACTGTTTACTTTAATGGGTGCAGGCTATTTTGTTTCCAAACATTAATACCGAAATTCAACTAATCAATTACTTTAGGCAATTCAATTTTGAACCCAAAGTTAATTTTGTTGAAATGAAAACTGACCGCCTATTTACTAATTGGATTAGTTTTAACTGCATAATATGGTACGGTTATGCCTGTTGTTCAGTTAATGTTGTCCTAAAATCTACCCATATAATGGTATCATTAAGGTTACTCACATTAGTTGATTAAGTTTTGTAATAATGATGAATATTTCAATTACGGGAACAATGTTGATGAATGACACATGTTTGTACAAGAATGACTATTTTAAACTTAGGAAAATCACAAAATTTTTGTCGTTTTAATGTTCCCTGATTTGGTAGACATTCTTCTCCCTTTAAGTTTTAAACAAAGAAATACAAGGAATAATACATATTTGTCCCTGAACACTGCGAAGATCATTCAAATCTAGTTGATGATTGGAAATTACGTTAAGAGCCCTTTCACATTTTTAATATTTGAGCGCCTCGTTTACCCCCTTAGAAAAGATTTTGAAGATTTTCAATAGAAGTAAACAGTAGATTTATTCTTCCTATTGTAAGTTAATGTAGAATATTTGCAAATACTATTTTCCTTTTTTTGTACTGATCAATCTAATTATTGAATTACTTAGATGACAAATTGTTTAATAAATAATGGTGACATGATATAAATTTAATAATAATAGCGATCTAATATTATACCTTAGAAAAAGGTGAAAATCAAGTGACACATAAAATATTAAATTAACTGTAATACATTTAATGTAATCTACTAACCTTCCCTTCATTAATAAATAATCTGAATCTATGTTAAAAATATTAATAAAATATATTTACCTGATGACATACTTCCCGTCTCCACCGTGTTGTCATCGAAAACTGAAACATTATTTTTTATTCGTCTAAAATACGAAAAAAACATTTTATAAAGAGTCTTTCAATATTGACTAGATGATAATGCTACCGAACGGCAAAAGCTTAGATTAAATCAATTCTTATTTAATCTAAGGGCAAATTGAATAAGAATTGAGTTTTAGGCTTTTTGACAGACGCTCTGCCAAATTATCGAAAATTCGCAGATTGGCTGAAGTTTTTGTGCTGTTGACATAAATGTTTTCAAACTTTGGTGCAAATGGGCCTTATAAAAATATGCGCATAAAAATCGACAAATATTTTAAAAGAGACGTAAGTCCAAAAAAAAACTGTTATTTAACGCTGTTGATACAAAGAAACTAAGAGGGAGAATACAGCGTATTGTCCAACCGGAGCTCATTTCTCTACTCACGCCGCGATAGGTAGCACCGCAGTATACAGCGACAATGCAGAATCACAAGGATTAATAGGTTAATGATGATGATGATGATGATAATGATGATGATGATGGAAATAGAGAACCAGTAGCAATACTATCTTAAGAGTGAAAATCTGTAGACTTACACTGCTGACACATAGAAGCTAACACGGAGAACACAGCATATTGTCCAGCCGAAGACCGTCTCTCTACCCGAGCGGCTATCAAAAGCACCGCAGTACACAGCGCGCAGACAGCTACCACGCACAACCATGCGCCGCCACTGAACGGACGCAAGAATTGGTTCTCGAACTTACCCGCTCCGTATGTAGGTATCCTGTAGTAGTATCTAGTTCTGGAATAAGCAAGCTACCCATTGCTTTAAACTTTTATGATCATTAACATTTATACCTAGTTATGGCTGGTAATTAAATGGCTTCAATCTGTCTTTATGCAGTTCAAAATACTTATACCTCTTAGCGATTATACCTTAAAGCAAAAAAGCTGTTTTTAAAGGGAATCTATAACTGATCTTGATTGGCAGGATTTAGCCCATGAACCTTATATTTTGCAAGTACCAGATAATCCGACACTCTTGCAAGTACTATGATAAAAAAGGAACTTCTATATTGGTTACCCCGTGCATCAGTGGTGGGGTACAGACCTACATTATGGGTGAAACAGGAACATGTTATTGCCTAGTTAATATTTTAGAATCCAATCTCATTGTCCTGTCTGCAGAGAAAGCCTGTGCCCGAGCAGTCGGGACTTTAATATAATGGTGATGATTGTATTGCTATAAGACTTTGGAACTACCTATATAATTAAATAATAATTTACTCGATAGAAGTTACTGGTGGATGCAGCACGTCATATTTGTCGTACGTGTCTCCTAACAATCTGATGGCTGGAGACAAGTCTTGCTGCTTGTAGTACAGAGCACTGGCTATCACCTTCTGTAACGGAAAATAAATTCCTTTTATTAAATCCTCACGAAAATACTAGATCCTTCGCTCACTCAACTTTACTTAAGAAATTTGGTGTTTTTTTCTAAGTAAATATTGAATTGAAACTATGGAAATAAAATAAATAATATTTCCCACCCTCACACCAAATACTAAAGGATCATAGTGGAGGGGAGTTCATTCCATAACTTTATTGTCAAGGAACAGTGGTGGACTTCAGTGCTCCAGGTAATATGGGTGAACTTGACTCCGGTGACGGGTGATATGGTGGTAAAATGGTGCTGTGGGTATTGAAGAATGTAAAAAAGAATGAATAAAACAATGTAAAAAATAAATCTTATTTCAAAATCAGAAAGGATTGAAGCTTATTTTTATGAGAGATCATAAAACATTGGGGTTATCTTTATCGTTTTGTGTCCGGCCTTAACCTAGTCAGGTATACAAGACCGTGAATAGTAATTTACTGATGGGTGATCGTGCATCAAGTTTAGACTAATTTGCATTAAATTTTCATTCTCGGTGATTGTATAGAGTTGTGTAAGGTTAGCAAGATAATGCACTGTTTTTTTTGTAACGACGTGCTTTATTAGTTTTAAAAAGTGAAAGTCACATGGCCCTACAACACAAGACCCCAAAAAGGATTCGGAGAGCTAAGAATAGTCAATTACGATTTCTTATAAATCTCAACATTGTCTGTCATCGTACTATTCAATTGACGTTTCTAAACCCAAAGAGTGACTACTATTATATAATTTGTGCGTCACTAGCTCTTAATATTAATCTTCCCTCTATTCAGTGTAAAATAAGAACTCAAATAAAAAAATTATGATTTCAAGAATTTATTTTACAAACCTGTGATTCATTTACATTGAAGTCACCTATCCATCTATCGCCTAAAGAATGCACGAATCTGTAAAATTTAAATGTTCATTCTTCTACATACTCTACATACACAATGTATTGCATCACTAGGTTATAGATATAGATTTTAAGCAAGTCTAAAATTCCCTTGAAACGTATGAGTATACTTATGAGTAGTCTATTATCACCTGTCTCTCTCGTTTCATCACAGCTATTTTCGTAGCTAGAGTCCAGTTACACTATCAGAAAGGATGGAGAGATAGAGCAACACGGAACGTGATTTCAAGTGCTGTTCTACCTACCTATAAAAAAACTGTACCTGTTGTCTGTAATTATTACAACAACATATTAACATGACAGCCAGGGGATATCCTTTAAAAGATGCGTGAAGAAAAAAACTAACAAACTCCTGCAACTATCTTCGCGTCTGGACTTGTCTTGCCTTGTATAAAAGTATAGATCCAATAGAGTAAAATTTCTGCAGAAAAACAAACGCACCAACCTCAAATTGTGTATTTTTGACACTACTTCCAAAATAGTAGCGGAAGTCTTCGTAATAGAAGCAACACTCGGCGAAGGGACCGCGTCCGTCAGTATGCTCGGGTCGAAATCTTTCGGTGCCGGTGACACCTGCCATTGAAATATGAACTTACTTTTTTGTGTCTGGGAAATATCCTTACGCAACCTTAAACCACTGGGGGAGCAAGAAGAAGGTATCTGGGATTCCTACCTGCTCATTTCATCCAGCCCTGGGACTCGATGAAATAAGTATGGCCCTAACTATAGTAAAAACTAGACAATACTCCTGCACCGATCACCCGGCCCGCGTTCTGAGGATCGCAGTCCCCACAATGCGCACTGGAAGTTGGGATGTTGCGGCAATGAAAAAGATTAGTTTTTATTAACCGTCACCAATAATGTTGGACACTGTAAGTTTTCAATGAACAGTTTCGGGGAAGCAAAGGAAATTAATAATTTTAAGGCCCGTTAGCATTTTCCAAACATTATCTCTCACCCTAATCTCGTTTGCAGAATTACCAGCAAAATACTGTAGTTGCGTGTAGGGGAAATTACGAATATTTAAACCCTATTGGAGAGTTAATACACAAATGTCTCCGAATTTACTTTGCTATTAAAGACTGCCCCTTACCTTCCGCAATGTGCCCAGGCTGATGATGAAATATGTAATTAACTTACGACACTGATCACCTTCATTGGCAATTGATTGAAATCCCATCTTCGGTAATATTTGAATTCATTAAGCTGCGTTTGAAATCCTGGTATATTTTCATCTGTTTATAAAAAAAATACTAATTTTATTACCAATTTATTTGCTTTGCCCTAATTCAAAATGCCTTGCTTACGAAGCAAGTACTGGATATAATACTGTTTTGGGGACTAATCAGATGTCCGGCCTTTGTGAAGGTTTTTTTAGGGCCACATATTTTTATTTAGTTTGTTCAAATAACTTCATAAACTTCATCGTTTTATTTTTCAAAATTACTTATTACTTTCTATCAATCATTGTAAGGTCGCTCGGCAATTGACAACTTTATATAATACAAAGATTCTGAGCTTATTTGCAAAAATACGGACGGACATAGCAAAACTATAAGATTTCTTTGATGACTCTGGAACCCTACAATCAGCACGACAAATTTCAGTAAACTTTACAAAAAGATATCTTTTCTATTGTGGAACTTACGCGTATTAGTAAATTGCCCATTTCCAGAGTTCTTAATTACAAAATCTCCTCCTTGTATTTTGCCGAAGTTGAAGATATCGTGAAGTTGATATTCGTGTCCTGTCAGTAAATACGTCATAATTATAGTCAATATATTCTATGATCGCCACTTAGTATAAAATCCCCCGCAGCGTCACTGTTTTTTCACAATAATCTCAAAAAATATTGAACGGTTTTTCATGCGGGGTATAAATTCCAGTAAAATTGTCGTCGGAAAATATGAGGTACTTTGCATCAATCAGGTAGTTCAGATTTTTTAAGAGACTTACTGTATAATATACGTTTTCGGCACAATGAATAATCCAAGTTTGTGACCTCGAGCGCCGAACGCAAAGCTTATACATTAGAATGTTCTGAAGCAAGTGCCTCAAATCGGACGGACTTGTTTATCAAAAATCCACGATTTTTGTTTGTTTCATTAATATTTTCTTAAGGCTTATAAATCTGGTAGTTACATAACAAATATTTCTTACCTATTTTCGCTATCACAATATCAGAATCAACACTGATGCTAAGGCTCTTTAGAATTCTTAGTAGTTGCTCCATTTGTTTCTTTTCTTGTCTTTTTTCTGCTGACGCTGATACGTCATCAGTGCTTACAAAATTGTTGTTAACTAAAATCAGCCATTTATGCTGTGCATCAAATAAAGAGCTTGATGATGCCTGAAATAATAAATCATCATTATGTTAGACTACCTCATGATATGGTGTCTAATTTATACCGTGTCTGTGTCTTCAATTGCATTTTTGATGAGCTTTTAGAATGGTGTGAGGTTTTAGAAGAAAACAATTTATTTTTAACTAGCGGGTGTCCGCGACTTCGTCTGCGTGTTTCAATTGATTTCCCATACAAACTTCCACTTGCATATTCACCTCCTTCAAATATAATTTCTAGCATAAAAACTATCCTATGTCCTTTCCCAGGACTCAAAACTTTATCTTTACCAAATTTCATATAATTCGGTTTAGCGGTTTTAGTGTTGAGAGGAAACAGGCAGACTGATAGACTTTCGCTTTATTATATTAGTAGGATTTTATCTGAAAGTAATATGTATATCTGATAGTATAATGTAACATAGACCAATGACGAAATGTATAAACTAAAACCCGCTTTATTATAGAGTGTTTTACTTGGGCTTTATATTATGATATCATTTATAGAGAAAAATAAATACTTACGAATTTCATCGCTTGTTGAAACTTCACACATTTCGGATTTACAGCTACTCCAATGACAGTGAAACCTTGATGTAAACATCTCCCGAGTTTAGCGTAATCTTCGAAACCCACGTCAATTCTCACAGCCGATACGACAATATTATGCTTCGTTGCTTCTTTAGTGAATTTGTGAAACACTGGGATATTATATAAAAAATAAAGCGTATTCATCATACGTAGGATAGACGTATGATGAAGACGCTTTATTTTTTATTACTTAGTAGCCGCCACGAGTAAATTATGCAACAAATTATCCTAACACATTAAATGAAGCAATACTAAATTGAACAGACACACATGCACACTTTGACGCACACACGACACGACGTTAAGTCGAATCACATTAATAATTGTTGTATAAAATTGTTCTATGGAATAACGTAAAGTCTGACAATAATAAACAAATTAGAGAATTATCACTTTACTTAAATGTTATAGATATAGAATTTTAAAACAGAAACTAAACAATTTTGTAACTGTAAAGAAATTTTTAATAGAAAATATCCACGCGCTCCATGCATCTTTAGATTTATAAATCTAGCATTTAAATCCTTAAAACTAAAAAAACATATTAGGTTGGGGAAAAAGTCATTTCGCATTATAGTATGTTACTTGTTACTTGTAATAAAGTTTGTACTTGTAATAAAATCTCTTTGGCTATATCAATTGTATCCGGCTGGTTTAAACTTTTTAATGATATTAATATCATTAAAAATAATATCATTTTTTCTAGTAAACTGTTCTTTAGATCATTAAAAAGTTTAATTTTTAAAGAAGATTATTTTAAATGAAAATTTGAAAATATGTGTAAGTTTCATTTGTTTTCTTACTGTCAAGGTGAGTGAATGTAATAAATATGTGTTTGTATATGTACACATACATATGTTTGAATGTAAGTACATGATTTAGCTATCATAGTTCCATTTGTATGGTTTTGTTTTTTTTTCTCTCTTTCTTTCTCTTATTTACTTGACCTACGTATTTTTCTCTGCTTAGCCCGATGGTTGACTGGTAGAAAATGCCTCATGGCATTAATGCCACCATTTTCTGAATAACAATGAAGAGTTAATAAATAAAATCCGTTAATTTTGATATCAAAGATGCACGTCGCTCTGGTCGCCTTGTTACGGATTAAATGGATGCCATTTTCGAAAAACTGGAGCAAGATCGGCATGTCAGTGGACTTGACACAGAAATGGTTTTGCGCATTTGAAGAAAACTGGATACACAAAAAAGTTCGACATTTGGGTGCCTCACGAGCTCACTGAAAGAAACGTAATGAACCGGGTACTCATTTGTGATTCTTTAATACGACGACATGAAATCGAATCATTTTTGAAGAAGCTGATAAGGTGATAAAAAGTCGACGTCACAAACGACAAAGTCACGTACGACAAGAACGTGCGAAAAAGATCGTTGTCAAAGGCCGGTCAGGCTTCACAGACTCTGGCAAAACCCGGGTTAACTCGCAACAAGGTGCTGCTCTGTGTATGGTGGGATTGGAAGGGCATTATTCATTATGAGCTGTTACCACCAGGATTAATAATAATAATATATTGTCTTTTTTTTCCATGCAGATATTTAAATTAAATTTCATTAAAAATAAGACAATAGGGAATGGCTCAGCCAATGTTGGTCAAGCTTAGACCTGAACCAACGCTGTTTTTCAGCCACCCCTTAACAAATTTTACTTAAAATTAATAATATAGAGAGCTTCGAATTCGGATCGTACAATTACTTTATATACGATACTCTACTGCGAATAACTGATGAGATTAAAGCAAGAAGTTGAGAGAAAGCGATCTGAATTAATCAACAGAAGGGGTGTGGTTTTTCATTACGATAAAGTTAGACCTCGCACATATTTAGCCACTCAGCAAACATTAAGAGAGTTTGACTGGGAGGTGTTAATGCATCCGCCGTATAATCCTGACCTTGCACCTTCAGATTTCCATCTGTTTCGGTCGCTTCAGATTTTTTTTGGGCAGTATCAGTTTAACATCACGAGAAGACTGCCAAAAACACTAGTTGCGGTTTTTGATTAGAAGCCCCGAAATTTCTATAGAAATGGGATCATGTCCCTACCTACAATATGGCAAAAAGTTATCGAATAAAATGGCATCTACATACTTCTTCTTTGTCGCTATCTTCATTGCTGTCTAACTTGAAATGTTGACCACCTGATGTATTATGCCTCTCCACGCATTCCTGTCCTCGGCAGTCTTTACAGCCTTGGTTGTTGATAGGCCAGTGAACAACTTTACGAGGTCTCACCAGCGGGCAGGGGACCAACCGCGTGATCTTCTCCCGTCGACCTGGCCAACCACCATCAGCTTCTCTAACCTGTCAGGGTTTCTGCGAGCGATGTGTCCGAAATACTTAAGTATGCGCTGGTAACAGATAGTGATACCTTCTACATACCTAAGTTAAATAAATAAATAAATATTCCAACACTCACACCAATTAACCTAGCCCCAAAGTAAGCACTGTAAGGCTTGTATTATGGGATACTAGGGTAACGGATAGAATACATATAATGTACATATATAAGTATATTTATAAAGAAATACATATCAAACAACCATGACTGGAGTACAAATGCTCGTATTCATCACACAAACATCTGCCCCCACCGGGATTCGAACCCGGGACCTCTTGAGTCGGCGACACCATGAAACCTGGCGTACAAACCACTCGGCCACTGAGGTCGTCGAGTTAAATGTAACTTTATTAAAAAAATGCGGATAAACTTTTTCCCCAACCTAATATATTATTTATTATTATTGTAATTGTAAATACCAAATAAACACTTACAATAAGCTTCGTCACAATTTAGAATGCAAATAAGTTTCACATCCCTATAATTGAAATATTCAATTAGGAACTTAGTTTCATTATCATTTAACCCTTTTACAGTGAAAGGGGTTAATAAGACCAAGAAGTAGTATCGCCACATCTTGCACTAAACAGAATGATGCAAAACGCATACTACTTATAAAGGGCAAATAATAAAGATTTAGGTGTAGACATCAAACAATAATTTGACGTCCTAATAATGCTATTACAGTAGGCAATAAAGATGTCACAGTTTTGATACGCTTAGACATGATTGTGGTTATTTTAAATTGGCGATTTGGAAAATACAGTTAAGTTTGATATCAAAGTGATGGTTCAAGTGAATAATGAAACGTGTGCCAATTTTAAGTGTCTCACTTATTTGTCTGTTTGAGATTATCTTGCCATTCCATGTCTCTATTGAGAACAAAATGTGTCTAATGAAATAACTCATCACACTTCACACTAATAATATAAAGGCGAAAGTTTGTGAGTGTGTGTGTTTGTTACTTCTTCACGTCTACGCGGCTGGAGAGATTTCAATAAAATTTGGTATGGAGTTAGCTGATAACCTGGATTAACACAAAGGCTACGTTTTACTGCGGGAAAATATCTCTGATAAACCGCGGGTAACACCGCGGGGCACAGCTAGTAACTAATAAATAAAACAAAAAAATATTTTTCTTTTTTTTAGCATAGAATTTTCTTAATAGGTAGACGCTATCGTTACTAATGAATGATTTGAATGTATGGAATCCACGTTTGCGTAAAAACCAACTAGTAGTAATATACAATAAGTTACTTAACTTTTAGTGACAGTACGATTAAATTAAATCTTTCGATTTAAATGCACTATTGCAACGTCATTAACAGCTCACAAAGTCTACAATATTAAGTAAATAAGAAAGATCATGATTTCAATATAAATTCGTTCGTGAATTAAGTAATGAGCAAAGATAAACCGTCAGTACAGCATTTTAAAAGGGTCTTTATTAAATTTTCTATTCTCAGCTTTGGATGGTGTTATAAGAATAATAAAAGTGTCGGAATATATTTTATCATCCAGTTACAGGGCGTAAAGTCCCCAAAGGTCTCGTAATCCTTTCAGGGTTGGGTGCAGATAAAATGGAGTTAAACGGTTTACCTGCCCGGCTTTCTGTTCAGGTCGCCCAAAGATATTAAAAAGGTCACGGCCTCTAGCCTGAAAGCTCGTAAGATATTAAAACTAATTAAAACTTAAGGAATAGACGCGTCACTAACATTGTCCTCCTCGAGAGTTGATTATTTACTGTATTTCACTGTTCTTGGCTGCTTTTATGTATTCCTTCATTCGGCACGCGATTGCTCGGATTGTATTGCCAATGCACGAACTACCACAACTGTAGACGATCTTGTAGACACCAGATTTCTCAAAGGGTCTCTAGAGGATCCAAAAGACAACTTCCTCCCCTCGTCAGTGTAAATAGCCACTTTCTGCCAACGTCCGAAAACCCCTGCCGGTGAAAGTGGCGGATTTCTGCCACGTAATACTATATTATAATATTTAGATAAAGAATAGATAAATAGAAATAAAAACAGAAAATATTGAAGGTTAATTTAAGTGTTGTCGCACACGGGCCACACACCACAGCCACAAACGCCGCCACGAGAAGCTAGAAGCGGCTACTAAAGTGTCTGAAGCGCGCGACAGCGGCCGACTAAGGTAAGGGAGAGAGTGGTGGGGAATCGCGCGAGTGACGCGTGGCGGCGTTTTGTATCGGCGCATTAAGTGGCCGGTGCGGGCCACAAGAAGCGAGCAACGACGATTTGTAGCATGTGGCGGCCACCGGCGTACCATGTGTAGCGAATCCATATAAAATGTATGAAAACTACAATAAATATGCCGGTGGCGGCGTTTTGTGGTTGTGGTCGGTGGCCCGTGTGCGGTGACACTAAGAAATAAATGAAGAAAATAATAAAAGTAGGTTCAGTAGAACTCGTAATATAACAGAGGGTTTTGACGACCATTTTGCTTACACAGACGAAGGGCACTTGTCGTATTACATACTCACATCAAAAAAAGTTTGCGATTACTTTGAAAAATAGATTGTTTTTAGTGTTACAGAAGACATTTTGTAATTTCTTTTTCTGATAAGATTCTAAATTTTAAAATTTGAATTAGAACGTAAAACAATAAAATAATTTAACTGTTTTTCCATATAAAAAGACATGCAATCCAAGCCATTCAGAAATCTGACTTAGTCAACATTATCGAATTTAAAATATTTTTTTCACGGAAAGTTGTGATATCAAAAATGCTACGACGATTATTCGATGTTTTACGAGCCAGAATTGTAACTTTGAGGGAAGAAGGCTATTAATTAAGGCCATATCCCAATCCTGTGTAGTAAACACATTGCAGAGATACCACGGCATAGGTAATTTAGCTGACCCCGTAGCGGTCGCCTAACTGTTTTAACAGCTGCTCAGAAGCGCTACATCAGGTTGCTGGTAGCCCTCGACCCAACAATAAACGCCATTAAATTAAAACTGAAATACGGGCCGCCTTCGGACTTAAAGTTAGCACTCAGACCATTCGGAATTGCTTACACAAGGCTGAATTACGAGCACGGAGGTCTTGGCAAGCACCTTTGAATTCACGGGAACGTCAGCGACAGAGATTACAGTGGGCTAGGCTTCGGCAAAACGAAGAAGACGAAGAGGAAAACATTTGGCAAAACTGCCTCTTCATTGATGAATCGCAAATCAGTACTCATCCAGATAACCGACGTGTCCGTGTTTGGAGAAGACCTGGAGACTCTGAAAGGCAAAGAAGGGCCACTGGTATGGTTCAGCAAGGCGGGAAATCAGTGTCCTTTTGGGGTGGTATTATGATTGGGGCTAGAATGCCTTTAATCCCTCATCAAGGCTTCATGACGGCAGACAGATACAAAACAGTCGCTATTGATGAAATCGTTAGACCTTTCCGAATAAACCATGGGTACCACTTTGTACTGGTTGACGATAATGCGCCCGCACATCAAGCTCAACGAGTTAATTCTGCTCTCTGAAAATACGAAATCACAAGGTTAGACTGGCCTGCCGGCTCTCCTGACTTAAACCCAATAGAGCACGCGTGGGATGCTCTTAAGCGAGCTGTTTGGAACCGGTAGCCATCACCCCAGATAGTGCCGCAGCTCAGGGAAGCTGCTGTTCAAAAATGGGACAGGTTACCACAAGAAATGCTGCATAACTTGATCCTCAGCATGCCTAGGAGTATCTCTTATTTTATATTGGTTAAACTATCTTTTTATTTCTATCAAAGTTCTATTACAATCGCTTTAGGATTGTATAATTAAATTTTTATACTGGAAATAAAATTAGTTTTATTTTTTTTAATTTCAGAAAGTGTATTTTTAAATAAAAAAAGATCTAACGTAAACATTTTCTCTTGATTAAGTTAAATTTGGAAAATATATCAGCTTTTGCGAGTGATCTCAAACTTTTTTTGAAGCGTGTAAGTGCTTCAATGGTGGATAATAATTGCTTCCCATTTGGCTTTTACTTGCTTCTTATCATGAGGCATTTTTATCCTTGATATTTCAAAAATACTGATTACATTAGGGTGGCCAGTGGTACTGACCTCACGATGGCTGGTTATGTTCTAGCTCTGTTTGCAATTATAGCAATTTTCATTTTCCATTAATTGCTTCCAATTTACTTACTTTAAACCCCACTAAAACCCTTTAACCATTATCCTGTAGCTATAAAGGAAATAAAGATGCGAGTCACAGTCGCACAGTAGGTGACTTCAGAAGTATGTCTGAAGTCATTTTTCAGCTTGACGACTCTGTATAATCAATACAGGGAGAAAAAAGCAGCCCTTGCTGAGTTTCTTGCCGGTTCTTCTCAGTACAAGGTCTCCCGCCGTAGTTTTGCGAACCGATGGCGTAGCTTCTTGACCTTCACAAGTGCTTGTAACAGCCTAGACTGAATAAATGACTTTTTATTTCATTTCATTTCATTTCATTGAACGTTGAAATGAATATTGTTTTCATTTAATTATCTCACTCTTGACATTCACGGGATCGCGTCCCAATATCACGAAAGTTATTTTCAGGTGGCAATTCAAATCTAATTGAACGCGTTTCTGTGAGCATTCCTCTGCCAACCGCATACCGGGTCGCATGGCTGGCCGTTCCTGAATAACCTTTTATTTTCGTGGTCCAAATTCAACCTCTATCACGACACTTTGCAATTTAACAGTGCAAAGTTGCTTAGAAACTTCAACCACAATTTGAGTTGGTGAATAACGAGGTAGTAACTTTTTATTTCGGTCACACTTCATCCAAGTCTCTTTCATTTATTTATCGGGTTCCCTTTTTTTAAGGGTGATAAACATGACTCCTTTATCTCTTGAACAAAATTGATGTCGCTAGGTGTGCTTAAATGTGATTCTTGTAAACTAAAATTTTACTATTTTAGTAGAAATTTAAAGTTCTGTAATGTGTATCTTATTTTCAAGGTGTTTATTATTTTTTACTTAATTTAAAGTTTCACCAATAAATAAGTAGATTATAATAACAAATGGGTAATTTAATAATTTACAATAGTTGGGTTTTGATGCTATTTCGTCGAGGGTAGTTTCCGACCGAAAACTTCTTTGGCGGCGTTTTAATATGTCATGTTTGTGTACGATAGCGCAATAAATAAATATTGTATTCTACCACATAAATGATAGTACTTTTATATTGATAATTAAAGCAATTCGTGCAAAATTATTCCCTAAGCATTCCAAAATATCAAAAATGCACAATGTTAATATTCAAGTTTTCACTCTACTGGCACTCCCGGAGAGCAACCCGTCGTTTTTTTTTTACTTGTTTTGCTCTATTTTGTTTTAACTATGGTACATAATCTTTTGTTTGCGAGTCCGTCTTGCACTTTACCGGTTTTTGGATGATTGAGTAGATAACAATTATTTGAATACATAAATTAAAAAACGCATTTATACCGGGGGGTAGACCGATATGTCTGCCAATAACAGCCTACCCGCAATTACTTCAGTTACTCCGTGATCATGGCGCTTGCAACAGTGCCGAAATATCGGAAACTCGCTTAAAAACAAGGTACATGGTAACA